GAGGAGGAGGAGGAGAGAGGGGAGAGGAGGAGGCGGAGGAGGAGGAGGAGGAGGAGGAGGAGGATGAGGAGGATGAGGAGGAGGAGGAGGAGGAAGCCGTGTTGCAGTGTGCAACACGGCGCAACAGGTGCCTGTGTCGGCATTTGTTGCGCCATTTACTGCGTTGTGTTGAAGCGCCTCGTTGGACAAGTACACGTCGGCGCTGACACACGTTCTGAGGATCATCGACATATGCTTCTTTGGGGGGCCTTCCTGGGGCTCAGCTAACAGATCGGTTCGGCTCTAGTGTTAAGGCGGGCATGTCCCGCTGCAGGAGGAATATTCCAGAGTAGTTGAACAATAGTATGGAGACGATTTCTTGTGCTCTTGATTATATATATGGACTATTCCTTCTTGTTCTTCTAAATCCGCCTGTTGGAGGATATGCCCGACCTAACTCTAGTGCGATCCAACTTCCACTCAAGTTCGACTCAAGTTCGACTCAAGTTCGACTCGGGCTCGACTCAAGGTCGACTCGGATCGACGAACGCTCGACGCAGCTCCGACGCGCGAGTGGAGCGAGTGGCTCCAGGCCTGAAGACCCCAGGCCTCGTCCGAGGGGGAGGGGGGAGGATCTTTGCTCGGCGGCGAGCGAGGGGGGGACACGAGAAGGAGAAGGCCTTGGCAGAAGGCGGCGGGGCTTCTCAGAAGGCCTGCGGCCTTCTGAGAGGTTTCCCCTGCGTCTTCGGGGAAGGCCCAGACAACTTCTCAGAAGGCAGGGGGACTTCCGAGCCTTCCGAGAAGGCCTTCTCCTTCTCACTTCCCCCTCTCGCTCGCCGCCGAATTTCGGATTGCGCAGGCAATGCACTGCAGGCGCTACACTGCAGGCGCTGGTTGGCGGACATCCGTCACGGGCGCCCAGACAGAGCTTTCAGAGCAGCGCCAAGGAGCTTCAGCGACGAAGCCGACGGGGTGCGTCAGCCCGAAGCGCCGGGGCAAGGAGGGGGTGGGGGAGGAGGAGGGAGGGGGAGGGGAGGGGGAAGGGGAGGGGGAGGGGGAGGAGAAGGAGGAGGAAGAGGAGGAGGGGGGAGGAGGAGGGAGGAGGAGGAGGAGGAGGTGAGGAGGAGGAGGCTGCTGGAGGAGGAGGAAGGAGGATGATGATGAGCAGGAGGAGGAGGAGGAGGAGGAGGAGGAGGAGGAGGAGGAGGAGGAGGAGGAGGAGGAGGAGGAGGAGCGATCAGGATCCTGGAGAGCGCGACGCGCATCAAGATGTTCTTCGACCCCACTGGCAGCCCGCGGCTGACGACGAACTCTAGGGGCAAGACGCGCCGACCAGGCACGAAGGAGAGCCCCACCCCAGGGGGCGAGGAGGTGGGGGGGAACATTGAGGGAGGGCGAGGAGGGGGACCCAGGCATGTTCGCGTCGTGAGAAAAACACGAAGGGAGGTTTTCGCCGTTTTCGGCCTCCAGGGGCCCTCGCTGGGCTTCCGGAGCGCCATTGTTCTATTCGGAATGAAACCCAGCCCTTTGGACAGGGTCGGGACCTCCGAGGACCCCCGTGCTGAAAAATCGGGACATCGCATGTCTGGGGAGCTCCTGTTGACAAGGAGCACATCCTCGCGCCAACTGCCTCAGAGTCAGAGGTGAGGCAAGTAAGGCTTCGGGCTGCACACAGGCAGCCTCCCCCCACGGTTGTCCCAGTTGGCCTCGACAGACCCGCCGAGCAGTCCCAGCTGGCCTCCGCAGGCCCCCCCGAGAAGCCCGGTGCGGTCTCAACACATCACCCTGGCACCGCTTCTTGCGGCGCCCCCGGGGCGCTCTGCGCCCCAGGGTTGTGGTGTCGAGACCGCCCTGGACTACTTGGGCAGATAGGGCCGCTCGGGGTGCTTGTGGAGGCAGGCAGGGACCACCTGGCGGGCCATCGGTGCGCAACCCGAAGCCTTTTACCAAGGAGGGGAGATGTTTTTTCCTTGGCAATGGGGCGCCGCAGGGCGCCAGTGAGCCTCAGAGTGAGATCGGAGGTCTGGGCGCGAAGAGTCTAAGAGAGGTGCTCCTGCACCAGCGAGGGCGCGCCGCGGCTGGCGCAGAGCGGGGGCAGCTCGACGGAGCTCGCGCCGACGAACGGCCTTCGGAGGAAGCCCTCCGCCAGCTAAACCAGGCGGAAGGCCGGCGGTGGCGCAGGGTCGGCCGGCGTGGAGCGATCTGGCGAGCGGAACGCCGCCGACCGTTCAGGATGGAAGGCTCCACGTGGTGTCACGAGATGCGCGTGCGAGGGGCCCGTTCGCCAGAGTTACCGTTATATCGGGCGTGTCACCCTACATGGGGGATTTTCGACGAGAAATTAAAAACAATACCCCCAAAATATTCCACAAAGGTCAAACAATATTTTTTAAAAAATAGTCCCCGGACTATTTTTTTGTTTTTTTATATTATTATGGTGGGGGTATTTTCTATGTTTCGTCGAAAATCCCCTTGTAGGGGGACAGGCCCGACTTAATGTTACCGTTGGTGCGGGCACACAGGGGGGCCCTCCAGCAGTGGGCCGCGCGCGGGGAGCTGGCCTCCCCGCGGTCCCCAGGAGCCACGCCCCAGAGGTCACCCTGGCCTGCGGTCAGTCCCGCGCGTGGTCGATGGGAGGAGGGGGAGGACGTGCTTAAACTTAAGTCGGGCCTGTCCCCCACACAGGGGGATTTTCGACGAAAAATTCAAAAGACCTCAACAATAGCCAAACAAATAATCCAAAAATGGTCTGGGGACTATTTGTTGAGTATTTTTTGACATGTTTGGGGTATCTTTGGGGTCTATTTAATTTTTCGTCGAAAAATCCCCTGTAGGGGGACACGCCCGACGTAAGCTTAAACTGCCTTCGGCCTGCGGGCCGCTGCCCCGGACCCAGCATGCAGGGCAAACGAGCCTCTGATGGCCGCTCCCGATGGGCTTCACGGGCTGGCGCGTGTGAGGCTACGGCGCTGCAGCACAGAGGAGGAGGAGGAGGAGGAGGAGGAGGAGGAGGAGGGGGAGGAGGAGGAGGAGGAGGGGGAGGAGGAGGAGGAGCAGGAGGAGGAGGCGGAGGAGGAGGACGAGGGGGATGAGGGTGGGGACGAGTGAGAGGGGAGGGGTGCTGACGATCGCGGAGGAGGAGTCGTGGGCGAAGAAGACAATCGTATCCGCGGCCTCGCGGGCTGGGCCCTTGGGCCGCGACCTTGCGGATACGGGCCGTTTTTTTCGCGGACGCCCCGCGAGGGCGCGGATACGGATATGCCCGCTGCCCGTGAAGCAGGGGGGGGCTGGAGGGGGGGGATGCGCAATCTGCGGTGGACTATTGGACATCAGGGCAGCCACCCCGCTGCGGCGGGTCGTTTTGCACGCTGAGACGGGGATGGCCGCACGGGATGGCTACATCACGCTGTCCCCTAGCAGATAAGCCGCAGACATGCTGTACATGCAATGTGTTTGTGTGGGTGTGTGTTTGTGTGTGCCTGTGTTTGTGTGTGTGTTTGTTTGTGTGTGTGCGTGCGTGCGTGCGTGCGTGCGTGCGTGTGTGTGTGTGTGTGTGTGTGCGTGTGTGTGTGTGTTTTGTGTGTTTTGTGTGTGTGTGTGTGTGTGTGTGTGTGTGTGTGTGTGTGTGTGTGTGTGTGTGTGTGTGTGTGTGTGTGTGTGTGTGTGTGTGTGTGTGTGTGTGTGTGTGTGTGTGTGTGTGTGTGTGTGTGTGTGTGTGTGTGTGTGTGTGTGTGTGTGTGTGTGTGGGAGGCGTGCGTGCCTGCTTGCGTGCGTGCGTGCGTGCGTGCGTGTGTGCGTGCGTGCGTGTGTGCGTGCGTGCGTGAGTGTGTGTGTGTGTGTGTGTGCGTGCGTGAGTGTGTGTGTGTGTGTAATGTCTTCATATGTGTTTGTCGGGGGGGGCTCGTCCACGCCCGGATGACTTATGACGGGCGGCTGTCGCGGGACCTTGTGCGGTATCTGAGGGCTCGGGCGCTTCTAGGCGCGCGCGGGGCTGTTGCTCTAAGACTTTCTCCGTCCTGTCGCTGCGCGCAGGGCCGAGACGCCAAAACGTGTGTGTGTGTGTGTGTGTGTATGGGTGTGTGTATGGGGGTGTCTACTGCGGACCCTCTTGCGCCCTGCTTCCTCTACCTTCCTGCGCCTCACCCTCGCGGGTCTCCGCGCTGCTCTGCCTGACGCCGTGCGCTCACACCCTTGCTCTGCAGGCGCAGCCCTTCGCTGGCTGCCCTCCATCGACAAGGCTTGGTCGTAACTGCCCATAGCGCACCGCGCTATTCGCTTCGCGGAATTGGACCAGTTGGCCAGGAGGTAAGCCGTGTGTCCATTGCGGGTTGGCGCTCGGCCATTTTATTTTCCTTCACGATTGCATCCCCGCCGATTGGCATCTTCCATGAGCACGTTACGCTTCTGCGCCTGCTTTCTGCACGGGACTGCCGCTTCAGCACACGCACTTGCTACGCCAGGCGGAGTTCGAGTACGCGTGCCCCGGCTTGGTGCTCGTGACAGAGCCGCCACCTCGCCGCTGAAGGAAAACTGTGTGTGTGTGTGTGAAGGGGGGCGTACGTGCCCCCCCTCCGTGAGTCTGTGCGTAGCGTTGCTCTCTATGAGAGGGCCCGTCGCTTCCTCGCTGGGGCTGCGTAAGAGAGAGAGAGAGAGAGAGAGCGTGAAGCGCGCTAGTAGCTTGGGACACTCGCCAGCCGTAGTGGACTCCGCCGATTCGTTTTGCGCATTGCCGCAACGCCAACAAGTATGTGCACGTGTGTGCGCGCGTGCGTGCGTGCGTGCGTGCGTGTGTGCGCGCGTGTGTGTTCAGCGGTCGGATCTGCTCGTCCCTCCTTGAGATCACAGCCCATTGTGCTCTGCCGCAGAAGCTGGTAATTATCTTGGCGCGCATCCCGTCGTCGTTCTACTTGGACAGCTGATTGGACTCCTGCCGGCGCTCTGGAGGCACAGGGTGTGTGTGTGTGTGTGAGTGTGTGTGTGTTCACCTCATCGGCAGTTCTCATCGTGTCGCTCTTTGTTGTGTCAGTCTCCCTTCCTGCGTATCTCCCTCCGCTCCAGGACCTGACCAGTGTCTTGCGCTGCTCAGAGACGAAGTTCGTCGACTTCCTGCAGGGCTGCCTGTCGTGGGAGCGCTCTCGCCCAGCGCCCGGCCTTTTTGCACCCAATCGCGAGCACTGTTCAGGCACATACAAACAGGCCGTTGACAAGGCAAGCCTCTTTACCATCGTCGCTTCCGCCCTCACGATTGTATCGTCACGCCTTCTGTGTGTCCCCCCGCATGCGGCTGCTTTTCTTCCAGAAAAGGATGCCTCCCACAAGGGGGCCTGGGACGAGGTGCGTGACGTCGTATGAGATTCCATTCGGAAGGCCCAGGCGAACATGCAGAGGTACATGCAATCAGCGGACCTAACCGGAGCGCGCCCTCCCGGCGGGAGCCGCAGGAGACGTTACAGCCCGGGGGCCTTTGGCCGTGTTGACAGAACTGACATCGGCTTCCATCTTGCAACGTCCTGATGGCCGCCGGTTCCGCTCACCCCGAGAAGTCAACAGTTTGGGCGCGAGAGGTGGAACGGGGGGCGGGGGCCAGGGGCGGTCGCGGCATGAATGCAGGGGCGGGGATCTTAATCATAGTCCTCGGCCCATCCCGCCACACTGCGCCTGGGCCGTGCTCAGAGGCCTTGGGGACGTTTGGGGGGATCTTGGATGGCTTTCTTGGGAGCTCCTGGGGGCGTTTGTGTCTCACGTTGGGTGCGTCGTGGGTCTCTTGGGGCCCCTGAGCATCTTGGGGGTCTCGGGATCATGCTGGGTGGATGGCTTCCAGCGGTGCGACAGGGCGTGTGTTGGGGGTTCTCTTGGGGCGGTCTTTGGGGCCTCTTGGGCCCCTCCTGAGACCATCTGGGGCCATCTTGGGCTGGTCTTGGGGGGGTCCTTGGGCAGTCTTGGGCGCTCTTGCGACCGATCACTCGAAACTCAATGCATTCAGCCGATTCGGGTCCCTAGGGCGGGCCCCCAGGACCTCCAAGACGGCCCGTGAGACTCCCACTAGTGCCGACGTTGGTCCTGACAGGGTTTGACCCAAGATCGGCTGAATCTCTCCACCACTCTGAGAAGCTCCCCAGGATCTCCTCCTAGGAACCCCCACCTCCCCTCCCCAGACCCCGGGACCCCCCACCACCAGGCGGGAAAGGGATCAGTGTAAGGGTTTCGCATGGGGTTGGGAGGCGCTTCCCACGACCACCCTTGGACAACCTCCCCAGGACCCTCCCTCGCTCACGCCGGCAGGGTTGGCCGATTTCCCGAATTGACATTACGATTCTACGAACTCTTAACCCTGCCATGGACTGAATGTGATTGCGGCAGTGAGGCTATGACTTTGCACAAGCCTTCCTCTCCGTCTGGCCGTGGCCGTGTCACATCGGTTACCCTTTTCCGACATTGGATGTTGCTGCAGCGTCGGCTCGACGACGTGCAACGGATACCGCAGCAGATGATGCAGAGCCAGACGACATTTCCCCCCTCCTTCGCTCTTCTCTCCTCCCTCGCTCCTCCCCTCTCCTCCTCCCTCGTTCCTCGTCTCCTTTCTCCTAGCTCCCCCCCTCCGCACTCCTGACTCTTCCCCGCGTATTCTTCCTCGTCCATTCCTGCCTAGATCCTCCCTCGTTCTCGCCCCCGCCTCGCTCCTCGCTCATCCCTCGTTCCTCCCTCCTCCTTCGTTACCCCTCCTCCCGTCCTGGGTCTGGCGCAAGAGGCACGGGCAATCCCCACGTGACGAGGTCCTCGTTGGCGAGGTCCAGAGGAAGAGCAGGCCTGGATGATGGAGACGCCGATTACACGACGACGATGATGTTGATGCTGATGCTGATGCTGATGCTGATGATGATGATGATGCTGCTGCTGATGATGATGCTGGTGATGATGATGATGATGATGATGATGATGATGATGATGATGATGATGATGATGATGATGATGAGTATGATGATGCTGCTGATGATGATGATGATGATGTTGATGATGATGATGCGGATGATGGTGATGATGATGTTAGTTATGATAATACTGATGACGACGCATATGCTTTGTAGATGATGATGGGGAGGAGGAGGCTGACGATGATGATGATGTCATTGATGATGCTCTTGCTGCTGATGATGATGACGATGGAGGCGAATATGCTGAGGATGAGGATACTCATGATACTGACGATGATGCTGATGTTGATGATGATGCTGGTGAAGATGATGCTGATGATGATGATGATGATGCTGATTAGGATGCTGCTGATGAGTGTGATAGCGATAGTGATGGTGATGGTGATGGTGATGGTGATGGTGATGGCACGGATGATGATGAGGATGATGCAGGTGATTGTGACGATGTTGGTGGTGATGATGCTGGTGATGAGAATGTTGACGAGGAGGAGGAGGAGGATGAGGAGGAGGAGGAGGAGGCGGAGGATAGCACTGACGATATGATCATGAAGATGAGAGACGGAGGAGGTGGAGGAGGAGGAGGAGGAGGAGGAGGGGAGGAGGATGAGGAGGAGGAGGAGGAGGAGAGGAGGAGGAGGAGGAGGAGGAGGAGGAGGAGGAGGAGGAGGAGGAGGAGGAGGAGGAGGAGGATCCTCCTCCCCTCCTTCCCTAGAGGGCCTGATTTCCCGAAGGCCCACGGAGGCAGGCGCACGTGACGGGGCTGCTGCGGCTGGGGGGCAGCAGCTGGCAGACCAGCCCTCGAGCAAGCAGCCCCCCACCTCCCCCTTCTCCCTGTGAACGCCTCCCCCCTGATTCCTGGTGGCATGAAAGATCTTCGATCGCTGCCCCCGCCCCTCCCCCCGAGGCCGGTCGGCCTTGGGGGGTTGATCGAAGTAATGCCAGGCGACTCCTGGAGCACCACTCCAGGAGTCGCCGGCTGATGGATGGTAGCAGTTGTTGACGTAGGACCGGCAGACAGAGAAAGGGGAGGAGAAGGGAGAAGAGACGGAGGAAGCCTCCTCAATACCAGGAGGGCGAATGGAGGGGGAGCGGCCAGCTTCCACTCGGCAAGGTGGAAGGCTCAAGGGCCTCTCCCCTGCTCGTAGGACTCCGCCAGGTCAACGACGAGAGTCCACACGTGTAAGCAAGCGTCGGGTTCCCAGTTGCCTCCCCCCTCATCCTCCTCCTCTCCGCTCCCCGCGTCGCCGAGTGGGAGCGAGGAGGATGAGGAGTGACGATGGGCAGCGTTGCGACACGACACCCATTGTCGCATCACCGAGGCATCGAGGAGAGGAGATACTATCGACGAAGAGGAGGAGGGGGAGGAGGAGTGATATTGAGGAGGAGGAGGAGGAGGAGGAGGAGGAGGAGGGAGGAGGAGGAGCGGATGGGGGGAGGGGGGAGGAGGGAGGAGGAGGAGGAGGAGGAGGTAGGAGGAGGAGGAGGAGGAGGAGGAGGAGGAGGAGGAGGAGGAGGAGGGGAGGAGGAGGAGGAGGAGGAGGAGGAGGAGGAGCGAGAGAAGGAGGAGGAGGAGTGATAATGCGGAGGAGGAGGAGGAGGAGGAGGAGGAGGAGGAGGAGGAGGAGGAGGAGGAGGAGGAGGAGGAGGAGGAGGAGCGGATGGAGGGGGATGGGGGGAGGAGGAAGGGGAGAAGGAGGAGGAGGAGTACGAGGAGGAGGAGGAGGAGGAGGAGGAGGAGGAGGAGGAGGAGAAGGAGGAGGAGGAGGAGGAGGAGGAGGGCGATTTGGCAGCGGAACCTCTCGGCCGAGGCGCACCGTGCTCCACCTCGAGCGGTGCTTCCTCGGGGGGGAGCGCTGGGCGACACCGACATGTGTAGGCCTACGACCGCAACCGATCACCAGCCGTTGGCGATCGTACCAGCTGATTGCCAGCACGAAACGAACCAGACCCACAGCCAGAGCACATACAAGGATAGTCACTTTGAGGACGCCTCCGCCCCTTGGCCACCTTGAGAAGTCGAGTGCAAACAATATCGCTATGCCCACCAGTCCGACTCTCCTACGGCAAATGAGGAAATTCCCCCTTGATTGCCAACAACGCCTTGCAGCGGCCCGTCAGTGCGCTCACCTCCTCAGTATGCATGTCATATCACATGTTTCTCCACACTGACAGTCTCCCACGCCAGCTGCTACCTCCCGCCACCCCACCTCGGCACGGATCCTCTACCCAGCAGCACGCACTTACCGACACGATCGGCAGCAGCACGTACCATCTCCATACCCACATCCGACGGCAGCAGCAAGCGGCTCCTCGGGCCCAACCAGCGACGACTACGCCAAGAATGTCTGCTATGCTGTGGGCCCCTAGGGGCTTTCTCACCTACACGGCTATGCTAGATCATCTGGCGTGTCACGCCAAGCCTTGGCAGACGTCAACGGCAACAGTAGAAGCTATGCTGCACGTGGGCCCACGAGGGGCATCTTCACCCACGAGCGATGCTGCCGCAGCCGACGTGTGTTGAGAGACGACCTCGCCGGTCTCCGACCTTCCCTCCCTCCAGGCTTCCCTCTCGTGCCCGCTCCCTCTGCCGCACCAGGCAGGCCTTCTCAATCCCCACTCCTGCGGCAGCGGGATGGGTGGGACGATGCACCGGCGGGGGGAAGGTAGGAGCACGAGGAGGAGGAGGAGGAGGAGGAGGAGGAGGAGGAGGAGGAGGAGCACGAGGAGGAGGAGGAGGAGGAGGAGGAGGAGGAGGAGAAGGAAGGGATACGCATAATTTAGGAGGGAATGCAACCGACCCCCAATCGTCCAGGGATCGCCGATAGGATAGGTCTAGCAGTGGCGAAGCGTCCTGGCTTGCCTCTGGGCCCACCAAGGAATGTTCTAAGAACCGTTTCTGGTCTCCACGAAGGGTTTTTAGGACATGTCTGGCTGAGGCTGTCTCGTTCCAACCAGCGGGTTTATGTTCTAAGAACCTTGTTGTTCTTCTTAGAACACTTCTGAATTCCAGTGATATTTCGTGGAATGCCGGGACGGTCGGTCCCTGCTCAAATAGGGGGGGATACGCATAGGGGGGATGCAACCGACCCCCAATCGTCTTTTGCTCGCTGATCGGGGCCCGATAGCCCCACCTGCCCAGGAGCGGACGGATTCACTATCGGGGGCCTATCGCCGATCTATCGGCGATGCATCGCCGATCCCAGGTCGATGTCGACGTGTCCCCCGCCTATGCCACTCCCCCCCCCCCTATCGTTGCCCTTCAGTTCCCTGGTGGACAGGTGATAAGGGGGGCGAACAACTGTATAAAACACATGGTGCCGCCGTCGAGAGCGCCTGCTTCCTGGGCCGCTGCAGACTTTTCCCCCCCGCGCGGCGCCCTCGGCGCCACCCCTGGCGCGCGCGCAGCCCGTGTCGGCACCTGTTGTGCCGCCTGCGTCGTGCTGAAGCGCTTCGGTGGACAACCACACGCGTTCACACCTTCGGAGGATCATCGAAAGGGGAGAGGGCCTCGGCGCAGATCCAAGACATCCGCGCGGAGCCCCGACAGTGTACGTTTATGTCGCGTGCTGTTCCTCAGTCCAAGATGGCGTGTGTCGCTCCAGGTCGGCCCTCCCTCCGTCGTCGTCGTCGCCGCCGCTGCCGCCGCCGCCGCCGCCGCCTCCGTCGTCGTCGTCGTCGTCGTCGTCGTCGTCGTCGTCGTCGTCGTCGTCCCGCTGCCGCACGAGGACCCAAAGGACCGCTTCACGCCGCAGGACGCCCTGGACCAGGAGTGGATCCTGGAGGACCCCTCCCCCTCTCAGCCTCCTCCCTTCCCACCCTTGCCTCCCCCTTCCATCGCTTTTCCTTATGATATATCACCACCTACTCCCTGTCGCGCCCTGAGACATGTCGGTAGGGCGGGCCGGGCGTTCCGCCTGAGACCTCTTCACCACTAGTGATCTTGAAGCTTAGATTGTGTAACAGGTTCATGGATGGGGGGCGGGTCGGTTTTAAAATGTGGGTATCGGCCCAGTGCCGCGCACATTCGTTCGTTTTTAACGATTGCAGGAGTTTCACGGATGGAGGGCGGGTCGTGTTCAAGAATTGTTTCTCGCCGCAGCGCCGCGCACATCGGCTTAACAGTTCGCAGGACTGTCATGGATTGAGGCCGGTTCCTTCACATAGTGTAGCTCTCGCCGTTGCGCCGCGAACCGTCTTGCAAAAACTTGCAGGATTTCACGGGTGGAAGGCGGGTGGTTTTCAACATGTGGTTCTCGCCTTAGCGCCGTGCACATTCGTCTAAACCAATTGCAAGAATTTCGCGGGAGGAGGACGGGTGGTTCTCAAATTTTGGGTCTCGCTGTAGCGCCGCGCACATGCGTTTTTACAATTCGCAAGAGCTTCGCGTATGGAGGGGGGGTGGTTTCCAAAATGTGGGTCTCGCCGTAGCTCCGCGAACACTGGCCTTCAAATGTTTGAAGAGTTCCACGGGTTGAGGGCAGGTAGTTTTCAACATGTGTCTCTCGCCGCAGCGCCGCGAACATTCTTCCCAGTAGCTTGCAAGAGTTTAAATGTGGTTCTCGCCTTAGCGCTGCGCGCATTAGTTTCAAAAGTTAGCCAGAGCTCCACGGATTGAGGGCGGCTCCTTTTTAAAATGTAGTTCTCGGCCCAGCGCCGCGCACATTCGTTTTCTGTAACAGATTATTAGTGTTCAGCGGCATCTTAGGGTTGACGTTTCAGGAGTGGTGTCCCAGTGCGAAAGAGTGCTGTCAGGGCGCAGCAGTGATGTTGAGTTGCGGTGCGGAAGCTCCAGACATGATGTTCTGGCGCAATGCAGGAGCGGCAGGACGCAGCAGTAAAGCTGGTTCGCGGCGTTGCAGTCCAAGGAGTGACGTTTTTGGCCCGATTGCGGATTCTCGGACGGTGTCTTCCAACGGGGCATTTCCAGCAGTGCAGCTCAATTCATATAGGGACCTGTGATTATGAAGCTTGGAGGGAGGGCTTGTTGCAACATCGTTGACGCGTATTGTGTTTATATTGATTCTTTTCTTTTTCGCCGTCCTACCGTCTCCCTTCCGTCCTCTACTACCGCCCTTATTGCCTATCTCCTCCTGCTGCTGCTCAACTTCCCTGACTTCTTCCTCCCTCCCCATTATCCTCATCCTCCTCGCTCTTCGCCTCTGCCACCTCGGCGTTATCCACGTGCTCCTTCGCCCAGGGCGGCGCGGCCGGAAGGGGGGCCGAGCAGCCTGGGCAGGCGGGTTTCACTTGCCGATCCCTCCCGCTGCGAGAGGTGGGGCCCGCAAGCACGAGAGGTGGGCGTCGAGGTCTCCTCGGCACTGCGCACACGAGCAGGGCGAGTCGTGGCGTCGCGGGAATCTGTGGGCATTCTTCCTGTGGTGAGGGAGCATCTCGTGGGAGGGCAAGCTCAGCATCGGCGACAGGATATCCGTGGTCGGAAACTGGGCTAGACCAGCGCGGCCCCTTTCAACCCAGCCTGATCCCAGGGTCAAGCTGGCAAAATCCAGCTCAATGACACCTCGATCGGGCTGGGCAGGGGGGGGGGGATCGCATTTGGCGGAGACCGTTCTTGGGTTCGGATCCAGAGGT